CATTTCAACAACTTTTCCAGCTGGTGGAGGCTCTGTGATGGAATGGGGCGTGTGAAGTTGGAGAGATATGGGAACCAATTCCTGATAGGTCTAGATACGACTCTTGATAGGGAACAAGTACGTAAGCATCCTGTCTGGGAATGCCCATATTGTGACTCGGGTGAGATGTCTTGTTTGGGTCGTTTTTTTTTTTTTTTTTTTTTCTTTTTCTTCGGCACTGTACCTTGCACGGTTGTATGGCAGAAACGTTTTGAATGTTTTCTGATATCTGATAACGTAAATTCGTTGTTTTCTAATGACAATTAAATTTTTAAAATTTTTATGAGATGTTTCAATTGGTCTGTTATGAACTATATGATTTTGTTGCTAGTGTTCTTGAGAGGCGATGTGATCAATTTTTTGTTCTTTGTTACGTAGATGATATAAAATATGCCATGCAAAGTCCTGGAAATGGATAGATCCCGGTGCTTCAGTCAGTATGCTTTTTTCTGGTTGATGGGTGTTGAGATAACGCGGAATGCAGTGTTTGAAAGAATACAGGAAAAGTCTTTCGTAAAGAGTTGCTGCTTCTTGTGTTAACCAATAGTTGAAAGGTGTATTTGTTGTGATGATTACCATTTGTCTTAAATCGGCCTCTTTATCTGAGTGTTTTTGGTCAACGTCTATTATTTTTCCTCTTAGAGTAATTTACAATCGCCTACGTTATCTGTGGTGATTCAAGGTTCTTGAAAGAGAGTGGCCGGACTGATAGATAGTTGATCTAAGTGAAACAAAGATCCGCCTTTAGATTTTGTAATGACTGTTTGTTGAACCGGTTCTAATAGGTATACCATGACTAATGATTTTCCCATATTGGTTTACCCTAATAACTCGAAGCTGTTCTTTTTTCCGAAGTATCTTATTTGATTTAAGAGAAAGTGGGCACGTTCTTGTCGATGAATTTCGTTTGCCATGAAGAGTTTTTCAATCCATAGGATGTTGTTGGAATTTGGATCTGTAGTAGTAACTGAATTTAGGACATGATGTAAGTAATGGGTATTTCTAAGGCGTTCTTTAAGTTCGGCGTTTTCAATTGACAGGATGTAGCTTTTGAGCATTGTACCGTGTTCTTTTAGAATTCTGATTTTGATGTCGTTGGGAACCAATCTCAAGTATTCGATATAAGAAGTGAATTTATAGATTTCTTTAATTTCACTTAAAAAATAATTAAAACATGCCTGGATTCGTTCTGCATGGCTTTTGTGTATTTTTTGTCTTTAATATCTTCACAATATTTCTCACATTTTTCAACTTCGTTGAATCTGTTTATGAAATGGAGACGAAACATAGTCTGATTTGTTCTACAAATTGTGTCAGGCCACTTCCAACGATGCCGAATTCCCGTATGTTTTTACGCAGTAGATAGCGAGAATTTTGTGAGACTGCGCACGCATTGTATTGTGAGATGAGCTTCTGTGTAGAGACTATTTGCAAATATAAGTGCCTCCGCAAGTCGTTTAATGAAGGGTGAGGCATTCCTGGGTGTGGAACAGAAGACGAAGTGGTAGTGGTCTCAATGATTGGCTAGGCCAAGCTAATTGGTCTTGCTGGTTGGTTGGTACCCTGATTTCGTTTGTAGTAGTTCATGGAGGGGTGTCTGCGGAGGCGTCGTACTCCTCCGCGGTATTTTGGATTGTTTCCGGAAGAATGGGTGAGTCTTTTTGGTGGGAGGCTGGTGGAGGCATGTCCGAAGACGATGTTTGCCCTGTTGGCGTTTGGTGTGAATGTAAAGCAGTCTGGGGTAACAGTCGATGGAATTGAATTATGAGGACTGGTTGTGTCCATGGGTGGCTGATATGAGCATGAAAGAGATGTTGCATTGTATTCGCCGCTCTCATCATCAGACATGACATGAGAGGGTCTGTGCTGTTTATGTTGTAAATGCGTGCGGGATTTTTTTGTCGTCTGTTCCTGATAAAATAATGCTTTGGGGACTGCTTGTGGGAATTCCACCGTGAAGTCGTGAACAAGGTTGTGACGTAGTAGGCGACTGGATATATATGTCATCACAATATACATCCACGATGGCTGGTTCGTTACTTTTATAATTTGAATAATCTATGGGAATTTTTGGATGATATCCCGAAATTCTTTGCCGCTTGTGATCGCTGCGTTCACTATATCTGATACCGGGAGAGCTTGTTGTTCGGCGTAGTCGTGTGATGCGGGGCGAGACTGAGGAGAAATGGGGGGGGGGAGGGCGCGAAAGACAGAGAAACAGAGACCAAAATACAGATATTGAGACAGAGAGTGACGGAGAGATGCTGGGGTGACGGAAATCAGAGAGAGAGAGACGAAGAGAGGGACACAGAGAGGCAGAGGCAAAGCGAGGCAGAGACAGGGTGTAACAGATCCAGAAAAAACAGGGACAGACCAAAACGGACAGAAAGAGGGACAGTGAGAAAGACACAGAGAGAGGGACAGTCGGAAAGAGGCAGAGAGGGACATACAGAAAGAGACAGAGAGGGACAAAGAGACAGAGTGAGAGACATACACAGAGAAAAAAGGACAGAAAGAGACAGTGAAAGGGACAGGGAGAGGAGACAGAGAGACAGGGGTGGACAGAGGGGCAGAGAGAGACAAGGAGATTAGAGAGACACTTAGAGAGACTGACTCCGCATGAACTTGCGGAGAACATTTGGCATACTCCAATAACAATAATCTATTACAAAATATTCCTAATATAATTTCCAGAATATTCTATTACGGAAATTCCCGGACACGCCACATGTTACTCCGGACAAATTTCGTTATCCCGGACTGTCCGGAAGAATACCGGACGGGTAGTAATCCTACTTTTATCGTTTATCCTATGTTAATTTTGTCTAAGCGATTCTTTATTACCATATCAGACTTCTCTCTGGCATAAATGAAACCAGAATGAAATACTGACGAAGGACTCAGGATTTCCCTTAGCGCGAAACAGCCACAATTTCTTTGCCTGTCTTTCCTACATTCCAGAAAAATATGCAATGGCAAAATTTGGAGCCGGTTTTTGAGAAAATAATTGTTTAAAATTGTTACAAAATTGCCGATGTTTCATGCAAAATTACAACAACGAAATTACTCATATTTTTAACATATTGGACATGACCATTTTTAAAGATCTATTTTTTAAGAACAGATTTCATTAAGTGAAAAATTTCTTCATTAGTGTAATTGTAGGAATATTTCAAAAAAAATGTACATTTGCTATTTTAAAAAAATAAGGGAATTCAACGAAAGTGAAACCTGCGCCTTTTTCAAGAGTTCCTCGCTCTAATCGAAGGCAAAACTTAATCCAATATTTGGGACCCATTTTTAAGAAAATTTTGGAAATGTATTGAGGCTGCTTGCAAAGAATCCCCCAAATAAAAATATCCGTTTCAAATTTGCAGAGCCTCATTCAAATCGATCGAGAAATATCAGATTTGCATATATTTTAATTTTGGGGAGTTTTTCCCAAGAATTGAACCCCTTCGAACATTTTCAAGGTACTTTCAGGCCTGATTTTCGTTGAAATGCCTGATTTTTCGAAAATTGCACAAGTTCAAAAAATTTCGGCGTCTTTCAACAACTAAAATATTGATCATAGAAATTGTTTCCTGAATGAAATTGTTTTTTTAAATACAAATTTTGAAATAAGGTCATATAATGTTTTTCGAAAATTTGGCTACTTAATTTTGCGTGAAATATGAGCAATTTTTAATTTTTTAAAACATTTTTTCTCAAAAACGGAATTTGAAAAATTTTGAAATGGTATATTTGTGTATCCCACGCTTCGTTTGAGGCGATGTCAATATATAATAATATCGTCGCATCATAAAATGTCAATGTAAAATAACCTTCATTGAAATTAGGTTAATTAGGTGAACCCATTGTTAGTGCCAATTTCCGCATGTGCTCATTGATGGCAGATGCGAAGTGATTGAGAAGTGTTGAAATAGACAGTATAATATTACGAAACCGTTACTTAGGGTGAGAAAGTATGTGCTGTTTAGCACCATTAGTTTTATTTAAAAAATTCAAATCCGGGGTCACAAATAGACAGGGATGAATGTTAAAATACGGGGACGATCCACGTGAAACAGGAACGATCGGTCGCCCTATTCCAAATAGAATTCGTCGCAGTCAGAGTTGGTTATGAGAGATAGAAAGAAAACAGATATGTGGACTTACTTTTAATGTGAATGAATAAGAAAAATTAATGAAGACAAACCAATTTTCCCCACTATAGATTTTACGCGAAATAACATAAATGTGTTGATTATGGTGTAGTGATTGAAACTATTTCATTTAATGCGCAAACAAAAAATGCCCATTTTAAGATGGAAATTTTCCTCCTAAATATTTTCTCTAACTATTAATTTTAACTTGTCACTAAACTTTCAAGCACAAATATTTTCGAATATTCATTAAAACGAATAAAATCATTTCAATTTCCCCTCCAAAAATAACCAAATAAAACCAAACCATTTTCAATTTCTCCACCAAAAATGTAACTCTGGCTCTGCCCCTGCTGCTAAACTATAACAAAAAAGCAACAACAAACTATTTCAGCTTATCTCTCTGAACGATTTACCTTCATTGTAATTATGACTGCCGTTCGAAAAGTGAGGGCGGGGACTCTTAAAGCGATGCGCGCGCAGTGCAGCGCCGCGGTGTGGAAAGCAGGCACCGGCTGGGCGGCGCGGGGCGGCGTGTCTTTGGTGAGCCGCGCAGGGCCCGGCAACTCTCTATCAAAACTGGGGACAAAGCTCGAGGTTGCTACTATAGGAAGCGCTAGTGTCGCCAGGTGCAGCTGCAGGTTAGGCTCGCCAACTTTCCCACATACAAATTGGCTAATTTGTGAGAAATACGAAAAGTGTCTTTTAAATGTACTATTATTCATAATCTATACTTATAAAAAACCTCTGAATAATGCGCGAATATAGACGTTATTTTTTGTAACATTATGGGCCTGCTTGCGATCCGCGAACTCACACAGTAGCCGCGTACGTTTAAAGTATCGTTGGTAGCAGTTCGTGTTTTAGTTCATGTAAAGAAGGCGATGCAGCAGAGCGCGCCACCGTAATGGTCTCCACCACGTTATATGGGAGTTATAGGGCCCTGGAGCCGCGGCTAAGGCCTGCACTGCGGAGTGTGATTGCCGTTCATTATGGAGTTTACTTCATTTGATAATTATTCGTTTGAAAACATCGCAACTACAATGAGAATATGTGCATAGCGCCAAAGGCCGGAAAAGGTAATGATCCGGACACCTGAATTGTTTTGTGTCGGCTACAAACATAGGGTTGACTGGATGTGCGTGGTGTGACCAAATTTTAAAACAATGTATTTCCGGAGTGAGATATTTATGGAATCTGCAATCAGTCTTTTGTGTTTATGTACCTCTTCATTGTCGTAAGCGACAGTTTTCGGAATTTAGGTAATACCCAAATGTGTAGTGCGATCAATAATGGCGCTGTCAGGAATCGATACATAAAAGGAACAATTGAAAAGTGGAATGCGCGTGTTTCATAATATGTGTTTTAAAGTGCTCTGCGATATGATCGCATAGCGGTGATTCAGAATCGTCGTCACGACAAGACTAAGCAGGCTAGTGATTGAACATTACTTGATTTCACTATGAAGGCACGAATTAATTTCAATTATTATTTAGGTACCCCACATTTGTTATGTTGGTACTCCGCCGTTTCAACAGAATTCACCAGTGACAAATATACAATTTTTCTTCTTCGTGTATTTAGACATTGAAAATGAATACCTACAAAAAGAAAAAAAAGAGTAGAATACACTCTCTATGTGCTACACACATTACCTCAACCCAAATGGTAAACGGAGAAATGATTCCCGCCTTTTACGTCTTACAGTGTCTGTTTGTTAATAATTTTTATTGTATGTGGCTCGACATTTGACAATTTCTAGCGAGACACTTGTGAAATTGTGTTATTCATAGCAGCTTTTGCACATTTTCCGGCACAAATTGTGTTCAACTTTCTTGCATATTCCTTCTCCAGCTCGTACATGAATTTGCTCGTAACCAATGACGTTCTTCTCGAAATTGAAGCTATTTGTAAATTTTGTTCTAAATGATGACATTAAAATTTAGATGCATTGGGTGAAAGTGAATTCATTTTAAATGAGTAATATATGATACGTTATTGTTGCAATGGTACCTTATTATTTAATCAATGCTCGAACGTTTTCATAGATTGGACTCATGAGATCGATAATTTGATGCCGGGACTTTGGATTTTCTATTGTGACATCGGGACAGCAAACGTTTATAGGCGACTGTGACCGTTAAAAAATTGAGTTAACCCCCTTAGATTTTGATGCGGGGAGATACAAAAATGTTTAATTAAATACCAAATTAATATTTAATGGAAATTAGTACTTATTTTCTCCAAGAAATGACATTGAATTTTGGTTGTATTGCTCAAAACAAACATTTCTTCGAATAATACTTTAGCAGAATTCAAGCAAATGGATTGCTCACGAATGTGATAAATAAATACCGAAATTACACAAAAGATAGAAAGAGTAAAGCATAAATATTTTTTTTATGTCGGCTCTTAAATCTAGAGTGATAAATAATTGCACTTATGAACATTATTACACCAAACTACATATTACCATCTTTTGATTTAAGAAGGTGATGTGAAATCTGCTTGATGATATCTTCTCTTATTGTACAAAATTTAACAGAACTAGAGCAAGTCCATGTATCATAGATGTATTTAATCTATGTCCGTAATTGATATAGGAATAATTTTCTATTAAATGAAAGTTAATGTAAAACTAATCATAAACAGAACTTGATAATCCCTCATTTATTAGAATACATTGTTTGATCTTAGTTAATGATCTGCTACAAAATCATAGTATATCTGTTAAATTAGTAAAATATAGATTTGAATGATTCATTATATTTGAAAACATAATTGTACTGAGAGTATGGTGTATTTATTATTGTGATACCTATAGTTTTATCAATATGCAAGGCAATTTGCCTAGTGAAATTATTTAATAAACTAAAATAATGAAAATTCTAAAGTATAATAGGATTAAAAATAGAACACTGAAGTGTAGTGATGTATCACTGCATTCTGAATTTCTTGCTCCATGATGAGAAAGAAGTATCTTCCCCAGTGCATGCTCATAACAAGGTCACTTACTTGGGTTTCAGCTACAGTATGCATGCAGAATTTCTTTACGAAAAAGTAAGTCTGAAAAGACAGATTGGTTTGTCTCTAGTGAGGACCTTCACTGGAATTTGTGTCCAGCAGCATAGTCCAGGATTTGAAAATTATGTTCTATGGAAAATACACAGGCCTACTTGATTCTAGCTAAGATTTTTGGCTAAGATTTTTCTGTAATATTTCTCTTCAATGGGTAAACTGTGTCTACCTTACCTCCTCTCATTCTAGGACATGGGATCTGTATTCGTAATAATTAAGACCCAAAATGCTACACACGTCAGGCTGCTGAAACTGCTGATGACATAGAACCTCAACTCCTGCAATTAAAGAAGTGCACAAAACATTATTTTCTAATACTGATAATAAATACATGTAAACATATTCTTAGGATCAAAACATTTTTCTTGTCCTCCCTGTAAGCCGTTTAAAGGTTCGTTTTAATTTTTCAAAGTTTTTGAATTTTGAAACTCTTTTTGGTAAGTTAATGATCTTCATTTAGAAAGCAGTGTCTTAATGTTCTTCGTGTATGTTAGGAATTGAAACAAATGTTTCTTTTGAATATCTAGTATACAATATGAATATTATTATTTCTGCATTCTTCACAGAATGTATTGAAACTGCTTTGTAAAATATTTTAAGAAATGAAAAATTATTTTAAAAGCTTTTTAGAAATTCAGAATGGGAATGTTTTATTTGGTGTATTTTTTTAGAGTTGGTGAAAGTAATGTGTTGTCTGTTATCGTTCATGAATTATTAATATCTTAATGCAATAAAGTAAATACAATAAAGATATGTACAACAAAGATGTTGTAATGCGATATGATAGAAACAGATTTTTCTAAGAATGCATATTCTCTTGGACTAGATTAAAAGTTTGTCATTTTTCAATTGATTCATCATAGAGATATTAATTTGAACACAAGTGATTATGAAATTTAGACAGAAGTGTGTGTTGGGAGGAGTATATGCTTACAGTTCAGTTATTGTGTAGAAAATTGTGATTTATTTTGCAGATTGGACTTGGTTTTTAAATCAGGAGACATTATTTTAGAGAGACACAGGAAGTTTGTTTAGAGGCATTTATTAAAATTTACAGTACTGGCTTAGATATGAATGCAGATATACATTTCATTACCGTATAGAAATTTTATCTACTCCAGCAAACATTTACAAACTCATTTTATTAATTGTATTAGTTTTATCTATAGGTAAAATGGAAATTGATTCAGATGGGGAAAGATTCTAATGTTATCTTATCTCCCTATTTAAAGCAGAATTATGAGACTTTGCAGCCAGTGTTTTCCCTGATTTCAACGAAAAATGAGTTGAAATGATTCATCTTCCAACATTCTAATAAGACCTTCTCCATTGTTTTCCTTCTTCTATCTGTGAAAAAAAATGGGATTGATTTTTCAATTTTTTTAATAATTTGATATAACTTCAAGTAGAAATTGCGCAAAACTATTCCAGTTTTTCCAATTAGTTTACATTATGTTTTTGAAAGATCTCTTCTTTATAAAAGATTTTGTTTATGACAAAAATTTCTATTTTTCAAATTTGTAATTTTAGAATTTACCTTCTTTTTTGCAATTTTCAAAAATGGGGAGTTTGCTGGTAATGGAACTAGTGCACCTTGTTTTGCCATTCCTTGTACAAAGAGGAGAAAATTTCAATAAAAACTAGTGGTGCTACAGAATAGCACATACTTTCTTGTAGTAAAGTTTTGTATTTTCATTGGTGTGGACTGGAATTTCAGTATTGCCACATCCTTTTGACAGTTGCCATCTATCGCCACCCATTTTTTCGACATTTTCTCAATTTTTTGGTTTCCTAATAATAGAAGCAAAATATTTCTTTAAGAATATTACAGAAGAGTAAAACTTCATTTTCATTTGAAGAGCAATTTTCATTGAAAATTTGGAGCGGTTTTTAAGAGAATGGTGTTTAAGCATTACTATAAATGCAAAGTTTGAATCTCTTTTTCTCAGAAACTTTTTGCTCACTTTTCGAAACACTTAATATGAAGTCATTTGCAGCACTTCAGCTCACAAATGCTATAGTGTTTATAAATTGATGGTAATGTGTATATTAATGGCATGAGAGAGATTAAAAATCTCTTTCTCTCCCTCTCCTTCTCTCTATCTCATATATATATATATATATATATATATATATATATATTATAATATATATATATATGTATATTATGTATATATAGTATATATATGTATATATATGTATATCATATGTATATATATGTATATATATTATATATTGTATATATTAATATTATTAGTGTATAATATATGTATATATATGTATATTATGTATATATATGTATATATATGTGTATATATGTGTATATATGTGTTATATGTGTATATATGTTGTATTATATGTGTATATATGTGTATATATGTGTATATATGTGTATATATGTGTATATATGTATATATATGTATATATGTATATATATATGTATATATATATACGTATATACGTATACACATAAACACATATACACACACACATATATTAGATATAGATAGAGTGTGTGTGTGTGTGTAATATTTTATAAAAACAAACAAAGGAATACTCCAAATACACTGTCGTATTAAACAGTGCAATTGTGACTGTCTGTTGGAAAAGTTTGAAGGAAATGGCATTTGAGCGTTTCTTAAAATGCGGAATTGTGAGCTTAATTTCATAGAAACCTGTTGAGTTTTTGAGAAACTTTATTATTCATATTTAAAGCATATGTTCTTATAAATATAAAGATGTGAACAAATTGTCGATAATATAAATAAATATTAATGGTGTGAGAGGCAAGTAAAAAAAATTCCATTTTTGAAAAATGAAAAGATTAGAGCAACATGACGATCATATTTTATAGTGTACATTCCTACCAAAAGTGTAAAGAAAAAATTTCGAGCAGTTTTCGAGTAAATGTTGTTTTTACTTTCCCATATATGGATAGTATATGTAGTATAGGGAAAGTTATTTAACTCTGCGGAAAATTGATTTCGAGATTTCAACGGAAATACACATTTTTAGGTCTCCTGATGCCGTAAAAAGCTTTTTTTCAAAACGTCCGTCTACACCACTAGTGTCTAAAACATACCTATGATTGTTTCCATCATTGATATTCCATGGTCGATCTGTGTCCACTCGTTGCGCCGAGACTCTGAGAAACTTTCTTCAAAGTTTGGGGGTCCTTTACTTCAAGCTTCCCAGAAATTTTCAAATTTGTCCCAAAATGACTCCAAATTGTTTCTTTAAATTTCATGCATGAACAGAGTAAAATATTGAATAAAAGTGGTATAGGTCCGATTTTTACGTTAACTCTGAAATTTCGAAACTTTCAAAAGTTCAACATTTTTCAGGCGTTTTCCTGAAACTACAAAACTAAAGGTAGAGATTTTTCTTTCCCAAAAAATTTGTTCTCCATTGTAAGCTCTTTTGTTAAGGTCATGAATATTTTTTGAAAATTGATGTAGTTTTCAATATGTACTATCAAAAAATTACAAAAGCAAGAATTTCTCATAAATGGCTCCTAATTTTTTTCTTTAAACCTTCGGTAGAGATAGAGCTAAATGTACTTTCTAAGATGATATAAACACCATATTGGTCTATTTTTTTTCTTCAAATATTACGAAATCATGTCGTATCTCATTAATGTCGTTAATATTTATATTTTCAGCAATTTGTTTTCATTATTATATTTATGAGTACATGTGCTTTAAATAGTGACATAAAGTTTCTCGAAAAATCAACCATTTTCTGTGAAAACTAGGTCAAACAATCGCATTTTCAGAAACACTCAAACACTATTTTCTCAAAACCAGCTCCATTTTTTTTTCAAACTTTTCGATTGGATAGTGCTAATTGCACTCTTTAATATGACGTAAAGTTAATTGTTTTTTTCAAAAATTACATAATTTTTTAAATATATCAGTGATAACAGATGGCAGGAGTACGTGGCAAGTTCGTACAGCTAGACGAAACTAAACAAAATAGACTACTAATACAAGAAAATCTGTGCCATTCCACAGCACTAGTTTAATATTACAAGCAAAATTACCCGAAAACTACTGATATTTCTCAAAATTGAATGTGACGTTATTGCAAGATCTGTTTTTAAAGAAAATTTCATTAAGGAAAACATTTTTACCTTGAATATTGTAGCAGTAGGAAGACTCATTGAAAATTTTGGGCTTAAGCGATTTTTGAAAAATCAGTAGTTTGAATGAAAATTAGCTCTGAGCGTCTTTTACGGTATTGGAAGATAAAGTTTAATTTAAAAATGCATCCATCCAGAAAATTTTGAAAATGATTTTAAGGTTCTTTTGAAGTACCCTCCCACCGCCCAAAAATTAATATATCCATTTCAAACTCGCAGTGTCTTGGGTTTGTTTAGATCGATTAGGGAATATCAATTGTGGAGAAAATCGACTGAATGACTTAGGCCTTGAATGTATGGACGGACGGACAGGCAGAGAGGGTTTGCTGTCAATCGATTTTTCTGTATCTAGCATCCCCCAAAACATGAATTTTGACTATACCACATGTTAGAGGAAGTAATGTAGTACATATAAGAACAAGATTTATCCACTTATTCATTTCCAGAGTCTAGCAATAAGAGTTTTTTGCCTCTGTTTTCCGGCGCACGATAACTACTTCCTCTTCTTATGAAGTAGGGTGAGAAAATAAAAAGGGCTGGTCACAAAAATCATAGTGATTGTCCGAATATTAACAGAGAAATGGTTACAAAATACCTTGGGATCTATATAGATTGCAACTTTAAATGATCCAATACAGTTGAACAAATTGTGAAACGGTAGATACCGATACTTGCATTTTGTTTGGATTTCCATGCAAATTGTTTGTTTTCGTGCAACTGTTTATTTCAAGAAAAATCGTAACAATTGGGAATGAAATAAGCCGTGAAACTGTGAAATCAACATTAAAAGAGTAATTATTAAGCAGTCTTTGATTTACTGATAGCAAGATTTTTATTTTCTCATGTACTACGTCCTTGTGTAGTAAAGAAAAAGTATTGTAATGCTGCATCAGAAAGAGACGGTTTTTTCAACAGAAAAATTTCGAAAGAAAAATTTGTAATGTATTGGCTTATTGTTAAATTAATTGGGAAATGTGACAATTGTTGCACCTCCTTCCTTAATTACGCCTTCTAATAGTACTTAGTGCAGTCAGAAGCCTCGTTTTGTGTGTCCTTGATAGCGAATAATTAATTGGTTTTCGGGGAACTATCTGTCCGTCTTACTGTTGGGCCACTTGTGAACAATGCTAGCAACTAAATCGATCAGCCAATTTCTCCGAACTTAATATTCCATGATCGAGCTATGCGATGTCGCGACCCTTGAATTTGAATCATGTATTTTGATTTTTGGGGGTACTTTACACGAAGCTTCAATGCCATTTTCAAAAGTTACTGAAAACTGACTTTTTAAGTTTTTCTCAGATTAACGTGCACATGTAAAAATGGTTATCCGATTACCTTTAAACTCTGAATTATCAAAAATTGTAAAAGTCAATTTGTTTTGGTCTTCTTACAATAACGAAGATAGAGATTTTTCCCAATAAAATGTTATTCAAAATTTTTAAAGAAGGTAATGGAGAATTTTTTGAAAATTTGAGTTGCTCTCGTGTGAAACAAAGGCAATTTTGAAATCAAGAGTTTTTCATAAAAGGCTTCTCTTTCATAAAAAAAGGCTTCTCAAAATTTTCATCTTTTAATTTTTTTATTGAATAGAAGAAAGTTTTGCTTATAAAAAATTTGAAGGATTGATTTCCACTGAACTGTGTATTTTCGAAAATTGTTAAAGTCTAAAGTTTTTTCGGCATCTTCGTACAATTGCAATATTGAAGATAACTTTTTTTCTTAATGAAATGTGTTTTTCAAAATTAGATCATGAAATAATATCAACTAATATTTCTTAATTTTATGAAATTGTGTTTTAAAAATCCAAATTTTCATCTTTGTTTGTGAAGCATTGGTAAAATTGTTTTACGTGTGAGGCTGGTAATGCAGGGATAATGGCATGCTGAAGTGTGCTGTATTTGAGATCAATGAATTTTATATATTTTGCTAGTTGGAAACTAGGAAACACATTCAATGTTCAAGAAGTTTTATAATATTATGCAACTGTAATAATGTGAGAAAGGACATCTTGTGGTAGCACCACTAGCTTAAGGGAAAAAACTGAATTTGGCTACTGATATACAATCCATGTAACAAATCTTTTGAAATAAAAAGCCTTGTGGTTTTAAATTCTCTGCCATTCAAAACTAGGTAATAGTGTCTGCAAATAAGGCTTATTAACTATATTAACATATATAGTAACTATATAACCTGATTTTGTTTTTTTGTGTAAATTGTGTCCACAGTAAGAAATCTGATAGTTTTGATAGAGTTTTGCAAATCCTTAATCATCTGTACCAAGTTTAATGATTTTCTTCCCAAACTTTACTTATCTTGAAAATAGTGCTTCACATCTTTTAGTAGCCTCTGTTTCTCTGTGCACAATGTGAATTCCTTATTAGTTTGTTTTAGAAATGTTGTCACTTGTTTTGTATCTTTCAAGTACTGTAAAGAAATGGTCCAACTTCATTTATGATTTACGTTTGTGCAGGTTGGTTCTCATTGTGAAAAATCACAGTACTTTGGAGCGTAAGTGAAAATGGGGGAGAAGACATCAAAGTATCTGCAGCAGCTCAAAGCCATTCTCATTAGGAACATCCTCTTAAAGAAAAGGGAGAAGAGAAAGACTCTGGCGGTGAGTGTGTAATGTATGGCATGCAAGTGAAATTTCAATGGAAATTTATTATCCACTCATTTGAAAGTTTAGAAAAACACTAATTATTATTATTAACTTGATTGGCCACATTGGACCACTTGAGTCGTTCCACTTCACTTTTTACTGTTCATGGTCGACTGTCGAAGGTATCACCTTGAGGTGAGGATAAATCCTCGAGTTACAATTCTGAATGTTATTCAGAAAGGTGATAATGAGAGATGGAGGATGATGGACGATAGGGGGTGAAAGGACGAACACAATACAACCATGCCCGAGGCGGGACTCGACCCCGCGATCTTTCAGTACGAGATCGCTACGGCACTACTGCTTTAGCAATCTCGGCCACCGGATTGGCAGAAAAACACTAATAATAAATAATATTCAGATCATCTGATGTTCCAGTGACTCACGTTGTAAACTCTAATCCTTTGAAAAATTGACCAATTCTTTTATTGGCAAATGATAATTTTTGTTTAGAGCAATCCAAAACATACATTTACAACTTGTAATATATCTGTCCCCCTTGTCCCCAGCCCTGAGATGAATATGCCATAAATGAAAATAGAATAATTAAAAATTGAGTGTTTAATGTATTGTAGCCTTTTTAAACCAGAGATACTTTTTGATCAATTTTAACCTTGGTTTATACTTTGAAGTGATCAATATAATAAATATTGTAAAAGCTTGACATGGATGTTCAATTTTTATACTCCCCCTCCCCCTTAATTGCTTTTGTCACAGTTGTAGGAACTCCCTTCCCCTCTAAAATTCTACAAATTTGTTTAATACTCCCAAGTCTAGCTTGTCAAAATTGAAGTGTAACAATATAATATTTCTATATATTCTTTCAATGCCCTCTCACCTTTCACAAATGTGGAAGAACATCATTATCTCACCCTATGAATATAAAATTAGCTGTTGAAGGAACTCTCCTACCTGAATTTAAAAAAAAAAATGATAATGATTAATTTTTAAGGCTATTTGGTTTATTTTTTTGGTGCTTGAACCAAATTTGAATGTTGATAAGGAACTTGTATGTACTTTACAGGGATTTGGCTTAAAAATTTTAAACATTATTGGTAACAATTATGATTAATAGAGCAATTTATTTTTGCTAATATGTATTTTCTGTAAGAATTTTAGTATTAGGCATAAGAATTGACTTTCTGCTATTAAAAAATTAGTCATAAAGATATCTATAAAATTAGAAGAGTTATGTTGTTTCCAATCAGTTCAAACAAGAGAAAAAGTAACTTGAGAGAAAAGCCAGATTAACATTAATTAGCTCTAAAATGACACAGGATGATAAGTTACACCTTTAACTTCAGTCTTCTTATCTTCTTTCACCTTTCTCTGACCTTTCAAATAACTCTTCCTCCTTTTACTTTTAGGTGCAGTCTGTTTCTTAGCTATTTGATATTTCCTTGTGTCCCACACAGTCACACCTTGCAACATGTTGGTTCCAGACTAGTGCCTTAACATATTTTGATTAGGAATAATAGAAAAAAAAGTTTCTACAGTGTAACATGTATTAATTGACCATTGTTGATACCCAGAAATTGTGATCTTTCAGAGGAATGGTTGCTTAATAGGAGAATTTATATATTTTATTTTAAATTACCTATTATAACTAAATTTGTGTTTAGGAAATTTTGATTTGGGGAGTACATAATACCAAGCTTTTATATTTAGGAAATTTTCTTAAAAATGGTTCCAAATTTTATTAATGAAATTTTTCTTCAAAATTAAAGAAAATGAAAACTGTTGTAGGTCTCATTTTCTTTGACTTCTCAATTTCAAAAATTGTAAAAGTACAAACATTTGTCAGCATCTTCCTACATTCCATTATATTCTTACAATATAATATTGAAGATAGACATTTTTCTTCCTAATAAAATCTGTTCTTCAATGTGAAATCTTTCAATATAGACTTGCAGAATTTTTCGAAAATATTCGTATTTTCTTGTAATTTTGCATGAAAAATTGTTGTTTTTAAAAATTAATTATTTTTGTTTTTCAACTGCTGTGATTGTACAGCGACCACTGTAATTTAACATCTCATTTAAAACTTTGGAGTAACTAGCTGAAGATGCATACGGACCCACACAAATATTCATACCCTCTTGCTCCCTCTGTCCTTTTCATTCCCTCGCTCCTTCTCTCCCTCTTTCCCCTTCTCTCTCCCTCACTCCTTCTCTCCCTCTTGCCCCTTCTCTCTCCCTCTCCCCTCTCGCCCTCCTGCTTCCTCTCTCCCTCTCGCCCCCTTTCTCGCTCTCGCTTTCTCTTTCGCTCTCGCTCCCTCTGTCATTTTTTCAAGAAGAGAGCGAAGTACGCTTATAAGATTGGCGTTCCATTTTCGGTGAACTTATTATTTTCGGAAATTTCAAAACTTACATCGATATTGGAGATTTTTTACTTTCTCGCTACGGAGTATAGAGTGATGTCGCATCCCCTTGAATTTGAAACCGATATTTTGATTTAGGTACTTTACAGTTACAGAAGTCCATGGGTCATTAAAAAATGTTTTTTTGTTTTTGATTAAATTTCGAAGTTGGATCGTATGAACGACGTTTGAGAAAATTATGTAGGATCTGAAAATGAACATTTCCCTTGAAATCTGGAAATCGATTTTCCGCAGCATTACAGAGGATTACATAACTTTCTTTATACTACTATATTACTTCGTATACATGTATATAGGAAATTAAAAACAGATATTTATAATAATATTCCCATTTCCATAAGTTGAAAAAAAATTATATCAATTTTTTGGTGCTGTCGTTGCTGAACTGTTTGGAGAAAACAAAGCTTAACGACATGAAATGTAGGTAATTTTATCTTTTCCGATAGCTTTATACATATTTTGCTTAGAACACATTTTTCCAGGCCAAATTCTTATTGGCAAACCTGATATTAGTGTTCCGCGACCAGGACCAAATGTTCAGGGAGAGGGACGAACAGACATGTTTCAAAAAAATAATGTTTTCAGTTTCAGGGAAACCCAAAGAGTGTATTGCCGGTAAAATCTCGTTATCTATTTTCACAAGTATTACATATAATTTTTCCCTGTTGCGTTTACTTACTGTACATTGTAAACCCACATATTCAAAACAGTAAAACGGCAACAATTTAAAAGAAATAAAAAAAAATTAACTCTACCAAAAATTAATGAACATTTTGATAAACAGACAATTGCACCAGTTTGAAGGTTTTTGCATGAAGAATTAAATTCACTAAATTTTGGTCTTTCAAATACAATATTGATTAGTGAATTATGCTATACTCCAGAGAAAATTTTGAACTAATAATGAAATTGGAAATGTATTTTTGTGTTACTTAATTTCCTCTGTTGAATTCAAATATACGAGTAAAGTTTGTAGAACACATATTTTGATTTGAGTTGAGTTTTGCTTTGTGTATTTACTCATAGTTTTCCTGATTTATTTAAATGTTTTGTGAAACAAAAAAACATTTATTGTAAATTATAAATATTGTATGTATTTGGGAATGTACATTGGTTTTTTAACTAGCAGGTAGTAAGTATCAATTGGTACATATTGCAATAATTATTATAGTGGTGTGCCCTTTTTTAGTGAAATTTATTATAGAACTGTGAAAAACAATTTGTTGTTGTGAAAGTGAATGTTAAAAAATTAACCTTTATATTTTCAAATGGAGCATGTGATTTATTATATTTGGTTTTGTTTGGTATTGTATTTGCAGGAGATTTTGGTTCCTTGCACTTTGCTAGCATTGATGATAGTGATAAAGCTGGCAGCTCCAACACCTCATTACCCTGCCATCACTGTCCCAAGGGAGGACACCAAGCTCGCAGACTATTTCCTGCAAAACATCTCAATAGCTGTTGTTCCAAACACGACAGGGGTTCAGGTAAGTTCTACAAAATATGACATTTTTCCATTTCTCTGTATTCCTCAACATTTATTTTACTTTTTACTACTTCGGTAACTACTTGCGTAGTGTAGAAAAAGTAATGTTGCAGCAAAACTCTGTATTTTTTTGACAGAAAAACTCGTTTTGTGGCTACCTGATAATGAAAAAGTGTATAATCCTAGTTTCTATACGTAGTAAATTACTTCATCTAACACTTTGTGTAGACAGAATCCACATTCTTTGGAACCTTCGAAGCTGTATAATTGATTCACGACAAAACATGTATCTGTTCGTCTATGGTCAACACTAGAGCTTAAACTGTTCAAACGATTATTTCCAAAATAGACAATTCGCTATCAATCTGTCCAAACGGGAGGGCCTACTGTTTTGAAAGGGGTATTTTGATTTTGAGAGACCCTTTACATGAAGCCCCAACGACATTTTCTAAGTTTTCTCAATAATAGCTCTGATTTGTTTTGTATGATGATGTTAATGGCGAAGGTCTCATTTCCATTAAACACTGAATATTCAAAAGTTCAAAACAAATTTCTACCACTTCAGTATTTAAGATCTATATTTTTCCTTATAATAAAGATCTATATTTTTCCTTAGAGTTAATACTTAAATACATGTACCCTTTTCTTCCAAAAATGATGTGAAGATATTGACATTAATGACATCTCTTCTAAATATATTTGTGGTACATTTTAAGTAATGTGTACTTTTCTTCCAAAATATGAGAACATTTGCGAATTTTTAGTTTGAAGTCATGTCAATTAAAAACATTTTCTCGAAATACCCTCTAATTTATCTTTATTTTGTTTTTAAGATTAGTGCAAATAAGATAACGCTTATTATTGAGGCTGCGAAATATTGCTTTAATAATGGGAGAGCATTTGCAGAAACTGCTGTTCTGTGCATCGCCTTTCTGTTGTCTCGTCGGGCGAGAAGATTCTGAAAAGATACCAATTTACAAAATTAACATCTTGCCATAAGAATCATTATGTATTGAAGAAATTGTCATGGTTATCTTTGTCTGGACGTAAATAAACATTCCCCTTACGTATTATATTCGTTATTTATGCTTTCTGCTATTTTTGCCACGTTCCGAAGCGCTGGTTCACTGAGACTACATACCATGCTGGGAATAGTTGCCAATGTACCAAACCAACTTTCAATTTGCCCAATTCGCGTATTACCTAGCTTCTCTATACAATTGCTATGAAACCGCTCACGACTCCGGATTCTCAAATAATGCGATCTGCACGCGTCTTATATGGAAAAAATTAGATACCAGGGAATTAATACAATATGCAAAGCGTTTTCGTCTGTAGGCCAGGTGGTTATGCGATCCACCGGTCACTTGTGGGAGCAGTTTGAAGTTTCATTTCAAAAAGTTTCATATAAAATTAATTCTTGCTACTTGTGAGAAAACGCGCTAAGTTAAAGCCAAATTAAGCTAAGAGCCAAATTAAAACTCGAAGGCGACACGTTTGAAATGTATGATCTTTTCCTTCTTAAATACACCCAACGAATTGTCAAAGTGAATGAGGTCCAAGCGTGGCGCCAAATTTGAATTTAGCCGCCGATGAGCCAACACAAAAATGTCACGGGTTCAAATTTTCCTAAATTCTCTGGATTTTCAAAAATTGCACAAGTTACAAATAATGCGAGAAAGAATGTTCTGATTAGTGTTATTAGTTTTGTTGCATATTAGTGAAATAAATAAAGTATTTTTCAAAAAAAGCAATCCATCTCGAGATTCTTAATGAAAATGCGTTTAGGAAATACTTATATCGAAAAGGTTTTTGTTTTAAAAGTCGTGACCCACCGTCAGTTTCTTTGTCAGTCTCCGTCCGCCTGCCCTCCGTAATATGGAAGGGAAAGAAAGAAATTAAAAAAAAAAATGTCCACACCACACACAACCTGGTGGTAGGGCGAGTAGTATCGGTAAGGCAGGACAGGGTGAGGACGGTGGCAAGGAGCAGAGTGGGTTGTAACCACGGGGCCCACGGGGGTGTTCCGACTCACCGTCTTATCTGGGTACCCGATCCAACGTAGCCCAGGCTGCTCAGTCTGTAGACTCTTCTAGGATACATACGTGATAGAGCTTTTCTCGTGCGCAAATGCATTAAAACGCATGGCTGTTTTTTGGTGGATTTAATATTCATTCCATTTGGGATGAGGCCTCTCGTTATATTCTTTCTTAAAACTAACTTACACTAACAGCTTTCATTCAGGCCAATGCTCGCCCTTTGAGTCCTCCCCTGCGACTATGACCCCAATGACGCTGTAAGCGGTCCTTTCCCCTGACATTCTGGTGCACTGAGGTCAGGCAGCAGCGCGGCCCTGGCTTCCCGCGGCGGGTCCTCGGCTGGGTTGTCTCCTCCTGCTGGGTTGCTTTAGTGTCTCGGGGTGCCCTTTAGCGGCGTTCGGCGGCGAGCGACAGCGCGTTCAGTAAGAAACAAAAGAAACTTTCCTGACTCTCGCCTCTCCCACCAGAATCTGAACCTCTCGCTCTCGCTTCCTCCATCAGAAGTGAACTGCTCGCTCTCACCTCCTCCATCAGAAGTGAACTGCTCGCTCTCACCTCCTCCATCAGAACTGCTGTAATCACCGCACGCCCTGTTTTAGTGTATTAAACACGATTATGCACTTTTAACTAGTGCTTTTGTGTTCAACGTGAAAAGACTAGCTGCTTATACCTGCTTATCTACGTAATGTAAACATTCTTACAGAAAGGCTCTTCATGTTACAAGGAGGCTGTTATTTCATGCATGGGCATAAAGTTCAATTGATGAGATTTCAAGCTGTATTAAATGTTTTCTTACATGAATTAGGAATTGTACAACCTCAAATAGCAATGTTGGACAAAATGAAGTCGTACATTAGAAGTATAGGTAAAAGAAGTTGAAATCAGCAATAATTCGTGAGAAGTAATGAGCCGTTCCTGAAATATAATTCGTCCTGGCTGCAAGAAACCCTTATCCTTCCTCATTACATGTTAGAGGCATTTCCAGGCCCATCACATTAATCAATAAAATAATAAAGCTGGAAACCTAATAAGTCCAAATACTTCAGATACTGATAACCAGATATTGTAAGATTAAAGCTAAAACCATAAAATAGAAATCTCTTTTAGACACTACTAGCTCATTTCATTTTAAAACTTCCTTTCCTCATCAAAAGAGGAAATTAAATATTGTAACACCTCCACTCATCTCCCGGCGAAGGGAAATGCGCGGTTAGCGGCCCGATTATAGCTCAGTCGGTCCTATTCCCTTTACTCGTTTAAATTTTAGCCAATTGTAACAATTTCCTTTGCTCATTTAAAATTAGGTGATGGAAGGAATTATTAACGAAATTAATGGATATTCAAAATAAACAATTTGATCACTGGTAACAAGACAAAGTTTATTCCTGGACAAACTGTACCAGGGAAGTTACATTAATAAAAATAAAGAAAAGATTGATTAAAAAAGAAAAGAAACAGAGATTAAAATTGAAGGAAGGCTTACAACTAGAGAAGAGTACAAAATTATTTTATAGCTAGGATTTACAGCGTTGTCCCTGACGACCTTTCTTGTGTCTTGGCGCGGCACCGCCTTGACAATACTTCAAAAGGTTTATTGCCCCCAGTTACATTGCCTGAGAGCCCTTCGTGGCAGATGTGCTCTAGGGGGGCCTGGCGGAGCCTGTGGGCGACCTTCGCAGGAATGCAGTCGGTCGCTCGCGCCCCCTAAACAGCAGGGCGTCTCGCGGCGTCTGCGGCAATCCGTGACGTCAGCAGGGGGTCGTCAGGAGGCTGCTTTGGCGGAACTTGTAGATAACCGGGGTATATCGCCCCCGATCGCAGGTGCGGAGCACACAACAATGTCTCCCTCTGAACTATGCGAATCCTGTCAAATACAAATTCAGAAGTTGCGAAATCCTGTAGCGAATACGCAATTACAAAAGATTCGCCAATTTACTATTGTAGTGCTTTTGCACTTCCTCTAAAATTCTCACTGAGAATTCCAGTCTATCACCCCAGTGATTTCAACTAAGTGTTTTCAGAGGCGCACTCGCCTCCCCGCGAATAGCTCCCACCCCAGAGAAGTTTCTCAACCAAGTGCTTTCAGTCCACTGCCTTCAGAGGCGCACTCGCTTCTCCCCGCGAATAGCTCCCACCCCAGAGATGTCTCTCTACCAACTGAAATTTTGTTTCTCATAAATGCACGAAGTTTACTTTTATCCCCACCCTTTCTCCTCATATGTTCTTGCTCCCTACAACGATCGCGTCGCTATTGGCTTAAGGTGATGGCGTTGTACACTAAATTTGGCCAATAAGCTCCGGCGGAGTATAGGAATATTCCATTATCTCTTGTCTCCGTTGGAACATAAGTGTCCTCTGCCGTCTCGAAAGTAGGCCACGTCTCTGAAGGGGCTTCCTGGCTACTGAATTATTGCTTTGGGTTTTCCCGATCACGATGACAGGCGTTTCGGAAGTATTCCAGATGTGGCCGCAGCTGGGCGATTTACAATTTACCCTTCCTTCGGCCGTTGGGTGGGGTGTCATAAACATTCGAAATGGGTCAGGGGATCGTGGCTCTTGCAAGAAGGGGGGCTTCGCGCCGTATGTTTTTTTTTTTCAGTAAAAAATTTCTTAGATCTACTTTACTCAATTTAATGTATCTTAATAATTCTGTACCGCTACAATATTTCACGGGAAAGCAATTCTTCGATAACAAAAGGGAATAGGACTTCATGTAAAAACAAACGAATTCTTTCTTTCATTTCTAAGCATCTAACGTATCTCAAGGTTTCCTCCTTTACTTTAAAAAATACAAATCATTGTTAAGAAAAGTCATACGGCAGACTAAAATCATGAAACATGACCAGGATATTTTGAACTCAAATAATAAAACAAAAGCACTAGAGAATATACAAGGTGTGTTAGAAAAGTAATGAGACTGATTTTATACTAATTTTTTTCAAACAACAATTTGATCCCCTTCAAAGTAGTTCCCTTGGGCAGCTATACACCGGCGGAGTCGTTGTTCCCACTCTTTGTAGCAGCGCTGTAAGTCTTCAACTGGAATGGCTTTTAACTGGTCGGTCACGGTCTTTTGAATGTTCTCCAGAGTTCCAAAATGACGTCCTTTTAGGACATGTTTTGATTTAGGGAAAAGGAAAAAAGTCACAAGGACTCAAATCAGGTGAATATGGGGGTTGAGGAACAACAGTAATGAGTTTTGAGGTCAAAAATTCACTGATGGAATTGGCCGTGTGACACGGGGCATTGTCATGATGAAGCATCCACTTGTCTGCAATGTGTGGTCTCACACATTCCTGAGCCACTCTTTTCCTGAGCCTTTCAAGGACACTTTTCTAAAACACTTGGTTGACAGTTAGTCCTGGTGGAACAAATTCTTTGTGCACGATTCCCTTACTGTCAAAAAAACAAATCAGCATGGTCTTGTTCTGATCTGCGATTTGCTCATTGACATTTCTTCGGCGAGGAGAGAACGGAGTGGCACTCTTCGCTTTGCCGCTTCGTTTCAGGATCGTACTCAAATATCCACGAATTCATTCACCTGTTGATCACACAATGAAGAATTCTTGGTTCATTGGCAATGCCTCTCAAGAAGATCAGCGCACACGTTTTTTCGATGTCCTGTTCAGTTTGAGTTTTCAGCACCATTTTTGCCACAAATCTTTCGCATGTTCAAATCGTCTGCCAAAATTTGATGTACGGTGAAAGTGTTTAAATTTACTTGTTCACTGATCATATTATGTTAAACGCGTCTTGATCTCACAAGAGCCCTCACACCGTTCAACGTTTTCGTCAGTTTTTGAAGTTGGAATGGTCTCACTGAGACGAGGGTCATCTTCAACGTGTTCTCGATCCTTCCAAAAATGATTTGTGCCAGCGAAAAAACTTGTGCCCTTGAATAAGCAATGTTCCCATAGGCCTGTTCAACTTTTCAAAGTCACACTCCGATTCATTATTGTACGGAGATGTAATTCGACTGAGAATGTGGGAAGATAAACAAAACGCGTCTACACAGGCCGTTAGACAACAACGTTGCCCAGATCCGCCCGCAGTTGTTACCAGTCCTCATCTACTTTTCCCACGCACCTTGTTAGTAAAAAATCGAACCTCCAATTCACACAACTTTTGAATGCCAGACCTAGTGGTAGAGAAATGATATTTTAAAAAGTTAAACATACTAGCATAAGCTAAAACCCGGACACCGGGACCCGACACAAGTGTACCGATCTCTATTCTTCCCCT